TCATCCTACGTACTGTATAATATAGTTGGGGTAGTAGGATAAATAAAGCACTATGCAGTCTTGACACCAGCAGTCAAATTCTCATTTATGTGCACCAGAGCCATAAGTGTATTTAAGTCAAAAGTGGACAGTATCTTCTGCAACAGTGCAGCTGCAAAAATGCCGTCACCTTGGGTGTGGCTGAAAAGCAGGATTACTGGTTCATGGAAAAGTTGGGTCTTTCCCTGTTCATTTGGTTTTGGTCAGACTTGGATGGAAACCAACAGTTTTTCAAAATTTCCTGTGAACTGGAAGCTCCTTGAACTCTGCAGATGCATGGTATAATTGACATTTGTGTTATTTTCTTGGCTCAAAAGCAACAGCAGCGAAATTGACAGACATGTCAATTTAAGCAAGGGGCTGCAGGGAGCAGTCAGGATTCCTGGCTCCAGGCAGACTGACTGCAGCTTGCCCCAGGACCAGAGACCCAGCATATCTGAATTAGGTGTATGTAATAATAGTAGAGTCTTTGGGAGCCCTGTCTTGGAGTTGCCAAAAATGCACTGAACACACAATGTTTCAGTCTCAATGGACCAAACTTTTTTGATGAAACCATTTTATTGGAAAATGTCTGATTGGCAGCATGCCAGAATCCATGGCCCAGAGCAGATGAGTCAAGCACTTCTGTGGGTGTCCCTGTCAACCTGGTGTAGATGACATGGTGGCAAAGTGAGCAAAATGCTGTTTTCTTCAACTGGCTGTCTCCCAGCAATCTTGCTGATCCCCAGCTGGAACTCACAGATGTACTCTGCACACACTGCCTTTCAACATTGGCGGGCCAGCTGGGGTCAAGGCAGATATTGAAGGCCAGGCATGCTGCCTGATTCCAGCTACAGGCTGAAATAAGTCATATATCTGCAGTACCTGGGTCTTTTTAGTTGGTTTCAGGGGCTAGTATTCTCAGAGCTGTCATATAGATGAACCAAAGTCTCTTCCCCTCTGCTCCTCTCCCCAAAAAGGCTTCTTTCTTAGCTGGTTCTAACTACTGATAGAAATAACAGCAGGTGTGGCTTTCCATTGCTTTCTGCCTGAGCAATTAAGGTCATATCTCCAGCCCCTTCTGCATGGAGAGGTGCTCCTTCAAAGAGCTGTCTACAGGGGCACACATCTGCTCACAATCTGACCACAAGAACTTGCAGCAGTGTCAAGTACACAACTCTTTGAAATGAGCCCATGCATGTGCAGCGGGGCTGGATTCTGAACTCCTCACTCAAGTGAATCAGCCATTTCCAGTCCACATCTGCTTTAGTGAGAACTTCAAGATTTGGCTCAATAGTTTGGTTATCTTTTTAATTATTGGGTCTTCTTTAAATAAGTTTGTCACCCCAGATTAATGCAAAAAGCTTAACCTCTATGTTGGGTGCATAACAAGGAAATTTATTACAAGCAAAATGTGACAAAATTTATACTTTGAGTTTTGTTTTCCTTCTCAACTTCTGCACCAGAGGTGAATCTTGTGCTGGCTTAAAAGGTACCTTACAAGTGTTAAGCAATACCAGAGTGGTTCATTCAGGTTATCTCGTAATGAGATATATTACACCTTATCTACACAAAAAAGATTTTCCTCAGTTATAGTCCAGTCTAATTATACCAGCGTAACCCCCACGGAGAGGTTCTTCTTATGGATAAGAAGGTAGTTTAGTTTAGCTTAGCTTAGGTTGCTTTGGGAAGGCGTTAAAGCAAAATGAAATTAAATTAAAGTTTATTCTGTAATAAGAGTTTTGTTTGTGTGATTGTACCTCTCCAACTGGTAAAGCTTCTTCATATGAACAGGATCTTAGTCGAGGCAGCAAGGCACTTGGCAGTCAAATAGTGGTCTTTAGGTAAGAAGTATAAGAAGATAATACGCATCCTAATGGAACATCCCAGGATACCTAATGGCTGTACTTACAGAAAATAAATGTGTGCTTCATTATAATGCCACACATTGTAGGAAAGAAAAAAGACCCTTTTTGTCTGTGCGTTCCTCCCTGCTCAGAGACAGAATGTCACAGAAACTAATAGATATGTTATGTCTATGAAAATTAAATAAATGTGTGAAATATTTTTTGCTAGCAGTAAATTCTCTGAAAAAATGCAGCTGGCAGTGGATTAAAACAGCTTGCAAATTTGGGGTTGAATTTGGAAAAATATGTTCAGCCAAAAAAGAATGGGAAAAATTCAGATAATAAGAGTTTTAATTTTGATATTTTCAGTGTGAAATATTTTGAAATCATATTGTTATTTAGAAATTGAGGAAATGTTTTAAAAAAGAAGGGGCAATGGGTCACATGATTTTAAAAAAAGACCTACATGGGGGGGGGGGGGGGGGGTCCCTGTTCAGATTAAATGTTTTGGGTCAGTCTGAAAGGAATTTTTTTGGTTTTTACTTTCTCTGAAAATGGAAACATTTATGGTTTTGATCTACCTGATTTTTTTTCAATTGAACGCCTGGACCAACATCTCCATTGTTCACCCAGATTTACAAATCAAGAAAATCCCAGTAAGCCATGAGTTCTGGCACAGCCAGAACACAATGCTAAACACAAGCTTACAAACTGTGATGAGATCTAAAACTCACTATCTGGAACAGAACAGCTAACAACAGGGCAGTTAATTGTGAATGAGGTCTGACCACCTATGTTCTATTTGATCACCTGCCATTTGCACACAACTTTACTGCAGTTACCATAAAACCAGAGGGTCACTTTCACAAATGTAATTTGTGAATTTGGCCCTGCATTTCCAATTAGACGAGTTTTCCTGCAGATTTTCAAAGTGGGGTGGTCTGTTTGCATGCATGTTTACAGCGACATAACAGCTATGCTTTAGCTTATTGTTCCCAGCACACAGCCTCCTCTTATTAGTGTCTAGAGGCAGAAACAGAGCACCCCTTATTATTCAGCAAAAGCTGAATAATTTAGGTGATTTTCAATCCTCTCTAAAACATGCAATTTCCCCAAGGGGAAAAAAAAATGACCTTTTAGGGGGACCTGGCCCTTTTCTGCACAGTCTTTACCCAAATATACTGTGTATCTGGATCCCAAATGAATTTGAGCCTTCCCAAGTGACCTTCCAGAAAACCCTTAAAACCAGTAAACATACTAAAACAACTTCCTTGTTAAAAATAATTTGATGATCTTTTTGCTCCCTTACTGATGCTGAGAAAGCTTGAAGGGAAGCAGGAAAGCAATAGTATGAAATGTGTTCAGGCTTACCCCTTCTCCCTTTGTCCTTTCCTGTCTCTGCACTGGGGGGTTAAATGGGCCAGGCTGCGAATCATTTTAGACTGGAAATTGAAAGAAAGTTCCTGATTGTTATGATAGAGAGAGTCTGCAAAAGCTGTCTAATTGGAGGAGTGGGGGTAAAACATCCTCCCTGTGCCTTTGAGATGGTATTTGAGCCAGGTATGTAACCTGGATGCTTAAGATACCGAGGCTGTCCCTTTCAGTCGTATGACTGCTTGGTCAGTCAGAGTTTGCTTTGCTGCTGCTGCTGCAGATAGAAGCTGGAAAAGAACGTACCTGGGAGCTTAGCCCAGAGCAGTGCAGAAGGGCATGAGGTCGTCATGGTAGTGAATAAGATAGGAAGTGCGAGTGACTGTCAACGAGCCAGAGAAACCAAGGATGTACAGTGTGCTGCCAAATGAGAACACTGAATAAATGGAGAAACAATTTTCCCTTCTCGTTTCTTTCCACTTTGGTCACATTAATGATTGCGTAGAACAATATTACATACAAAACTTTCAGATGGAAATGTGATTTGCAAGTTGAAGACACCAAACGTAAATCACTTTCAGAGCCCTGTCCTTTTCCTTTTCTAATGTGCAAGGATTTGGATTTGGTTTATGAATGTCTTGTGCTTTTCCTCTTTCCCCATTCCACATCCAAAAGCAATAGCACTAGTCACTAACATTTAGAAGAATTCAGAATTCTCTCTTGATCGCTGGGATTCTGGCCCTCCTAAGCAGTTTTTCATCCCTTGTATATATTCTGTG